GTCCTGCGGAATCTACCCACATACCTCCACTCCCGTCCTGCAGAATCTACCCACATACCTCCATTCCTGTCCTGCGGAATCTACCCACATACCTCCACTCCGGTCCTGCAGAATCTACCCACATACCTCCACTCCGGTCCTGCAGAATCTACCCACATACCTCCACTCCCATCCTGCGGAATCTACCCACATACCTCCATTCCCAGCACTGCACCCTACCTCCAACCTGAAAATTTTCATTCATCCACTTAATAAACATCTGTCCAGTGCCTGTTCCGTGCCAGGCACGATGCCTGGCAAATAATTGGTAATAAAATTCAGTCCTTGCTCTTAAGGAGCTTCCAGTCTAGTCTTCAGAGGGGGGTAGGTACGCAACTGGGGCTTGGGAGGTTGAATGCTGTACTAAGACCAAAATGGATGCCACGGTGCATAGCGGAGAAGACCAACACAGACTTGGGCCAAGTTAGCTTCCTCAAGGATGTGGTACCCAGCAAAGATGCAAAGGATGGTGGATGAGCCATCTAAGTGGGACAGAGAGTGCCAAGAGAGGCCACAGTGTGTGCAAAAGCCTAGACACTGTAGCTAGCATGATAGGTAGGGAGACCTGCCCAGAGCTGGGTAGAATGCTCTTAGAGGTCAAGCTGCAGCAGCCAGCGGAGGGCAAGAGTCCATCAGGACGGGACCCACAGCAGCCTGAGCATCTCCCTGTCACCCTGCTCAGACTCAAGACTTAGCAGACCCCTGTCCTCTGCTGCAGGAGCCCCTGCATATATACCTCATGTCCATGTGCTGAGTCACATGCAAACCTGGGATGCGGTAGCATGGAAGCTGCCCCACGAGGCCTTGGTGTCTCTCTTAGCCAGACCCACAACCACCCCACATCCATGACCAATGTACGGCCTCCGCTCTGAAACTGACCTCTAACTACCTGTTCTTCAAAACTTCATCTGGGCTCTTGTCACTTGTGCTGCCTGACACAGCATCAAGCTTTGCCAGTGGGCACCTCAGTAAACATCAATGGACCGCAGGGATGTGGAACGAATTCCTTCCCTTTGCTCTCTCAGAGGCTCTGGTCCAGCTTCTCCAGGCCTGAGTTCCTGCAGCAGAGGTGGTGTCTACAGCACCAGGTGCCTGCAGTGCCGGGCAATGTGGCACTTAGTGGCAGTGGCACTGTTCAGCTGGCTATGCCCAAGTCTTTGCAGTCAGCTTTAACCTCTCTCTTTCTCTCCCAGCCCCATATTCACTCCATCAGAAAGTCTTGGCAGCTCCGCGCTCAACTGCCACCCCTTCCCTGTATGGTACTGATGCCAAAACTGCTCTCTTGCCTGGACAACCGCAGTCAACTCCCAACTGGGCTTTACTTTCTGCCTTCCTTGAGACTGTGCTCCAAGAGTAGCCAGAGGGACCCCATGGAGCAGCCCTAGAGCTGAAGATGTAACTCAGTGGCAAAGTGTGTTCTTTGCACAAGCAAGGCCAGGCATCCAATCCCAGATTGCAGAGGAGATTTTTTAAAAACAATAAAATACAATGTAACACTCTAGATAAATTCAAAGTCAACTATTTGAGTATTCTGAAAAGTAAACAAAAACAGGTAGATTGTGTCAGAAGGCAAGGCTTCAAGAAACAACCAAGTGCTGGGCAGGCAGTGGTGGCGCAGGCGGTAGTGGCAAACGTCTTTAATCCCAATGGGAGGCAGAACCAGGCGGGTCTCTGTGAGTTCAAGGCCAGCCTGGGCTACAGAGCCAGATCCAGGACAGATACCAAAACTACACAGAGAAACCCTGTCTCAAAAAAGCAAAAAGAAGGAGGAAGAGGAGAAGGAGGACTAGGAGGAGGAGGAGGAGGAGGAGAAGAAGAAGAAGAAGAAGAAGAAGAAGAAGAAGAAGAAGAAGAAGAAGAAGAAGAAGAAGAAGAAGAAACAACCAAGTGTTTGTTCTCTCCCCCCACCCCCAAAGCTGAGGGTGGAGCAGGAGAGCATCTGCTTGGACGGCTGAGATCCCCAAGAAAAGCTCACCTTCCCACCCAAAGGCAAAGGGAGAGGGACTGTTGTGAATTGGAAAACACAGAAGCAAAGCCCATGCTCTGTTCTCTCTCTCTCTCTCTCTCTCTCTCTCTCTCTCTCTCTCTCTCTCT